GTGCTCAGCCATCCCCAGGGAAGCAGAGCTCCATCACGCGTAACGGTGACTTGGGACGACAAATGCCATCACTCCAAATGTCCTTCCCCTTCCTTCTTCTTCCAGTTTCTATACTGAGCATGATGTCATATGGTCTGGAATAGCCCTTGGGCCAGTTGGGGTCAGCTCTCCTGGCTGTGTCCCCTCCCAGTTTCTTGTGCCCCTGGTGGAGCTGGGGAAGCTGAAGAGTCTTTGACTGGTGTGAGCACTGCTCAGCAACAACTAAAAGATCAGTGAGTTATCAACATTCTTCTCATCCTAAATCCAAAACACAGAGCTATGCCAGCTTCTAGGAAGAAAATAACTGTCCCAGCCCAAACAAGGACACGCATACCTGCAGTTACCCTCTCCTGCCTCTTGTTTTTGTCCTTACAGCTGTAAACAACATTCACCGTGTGCATCACGTTAAAAACATAGACTCATAGAATCGTTTCGGTTGGAAAAGACCTTTAAGATCATCAAGTCCAACTGTTCCCCTAACCCTGCCATCCCACCACTAAAACATGTGCCATACCTAAGAAAACAGAACATTTCCGAGTAAGTCTGTCTTTCTCAAAAGGACTGAAGCAGTCCCTGCAGACGTTACGCACTGAAGCATAACTCAAACACACGCTCCTTGTCTGAACCACAAGCAGAACGTTAAGCAGTGAGCGTTTTACAAGCCTACAATAAACACTCACCATGACGAAAAGCCTCCCGAGCCTCACCGACTGTTAGAAGATGGTCCTGCTCCTAACCATACACTTCAGAGGCTTAAGCACAGTTTGTGGCTTAGGCCTCCTTGCAAGGCTGATCCTTAAATCTGTCAAGGGTCTGGTGTCTCTGTTTCCACCACCCGTGAAATGGGGGGACCAGGAATTCACTTGGAGGGAGGTTCCAGTGGGTTCATGCGTAGTATCCAGAACCGCTGGGATTGCTCCCCTAATTACAAAAGCAGCTCCATGCTAGGATGGGCACTTTTAACATAAATTAGGACTCAAGATTATTAGCTTTTTTAGGGTACTGAAGAGATGAGAAAGAGTGATGTTGCCAAGTTACAGATAAGCAACTCAACCACCCAGAGGAAAGATCCTCGTTTTCAGCTGATACAAAGCAAGCAACGCCCAAAGTGAGCGTGAACTCCAAGAGAGAGGATCTGAGTTAAAGGTGGGACTTGACGATCTTAAAGGTCTTTTCCAATGTAAACGATTCTATGAATCTCTTCCCCAGCCATATGCATGGCTGACAGCCTGTAGCAGTGCCAGAAATGAAACCTGGGTCAGACTAAGGGCAGATCTTCCACCTGAAGTTTCCTTCTCTCTGAAGCCGTCCCATCCCACCCAGCAGAGCAAATTTCCTCTGCCAGACATCTCAAGCACTTTCCCCTCTCCATCCTGATATAACCCAGCCCTCCAGAGCTTGCTTTTTACTGCCAGCTCCTGAAAAAACCTCTCAGCCAGTGAAACCAGAGCCTACACCCAAATCTACACCACCCTTTTGAGAGGCAGAAGGGCCATTGCTCTCCCTCTTCCTACCATCCCACTCGCATGAGCATCCTTATGGTTCAACGGTTTAGCTGTCACGTAAAGAGCTAGGGCAGCTCTATCTTACAGTGGGGACAAGCTTTTTAGTAGGGCCAGCTGGGACTGGATGGTTTTAAACTGAAGCAGGGTAGGTTTAGACTAGATAGAAGGAAGAAATTCTTTACAATGAGGGTGGTGAAACCCTGGCAGGGGTTGCCCAGAGAGGGGGTGGAGGCCCCATCCCTGGGAACATTCAAGACCAGGTTGGACGGGGCTGTGAGCAACCTGATGTGGTTCAAGGTGTCCCTGCTCCTGCAGGGGGGTTGGGCTGGGTGACCTCTAGGGGTCCCTTCCCACCCAAAACATTCTATGATTCTATCATTCTATCTCCATGAGTTCTTCTCTAAGCTGCACCAAATCCACAGGGCTAAGCAGGAAAGCGGAGAGCAGCAGAGCACACAGCAACGACCCAGCCAGGCACCTTCTGGAAACCAGACAGCTTAAGGCTTAACTACGTCCGAGGAGCGGCATCGGGCTGGTAGGTGTCCTGGTTTCGGCTGGGATAGAGTTAATTTTCTTCACAGTAGCTAGCATAGTGCTGTGTTTTGGATTTAGTACCAGAATAATGTTGATAACACACTGACCAAAGGGCTATTCCATACCATACAACGTCATGCTCGGGGGGGTTAGTTAGTTCGGTCAGTTGGTCGCGGGCAGAGTGATCGCAGCTCGGGCTGTGTGATCGTGGCTCGGGGGGAGTGATTGCTGCTCGGGACGGGCTGGGCATCGGTCAGTGGGTGGTGAGCAATTGCATTGTGCATCACTTGTTTTATATATATTCTGTATATTCTCTTACTATTATTATTATTATTATTACTACTACTATTGTTATTCTTCTCTCTTATTAAACTGTCTCTATCTCAACCCACGGGTCTTACTTTTTTTTCTTTTCTCCTATTCTCTCCCCCATCCCACAGAGGGAGGGGGGGAGTGAGCGAGCGGCTGCGTGGTGCTTAGTTGCCAGCCGGGTTAAACCACGACAGTAGGTCAAGGCTCGCTGCCTTGACAGCAGCTTAGGATACCATCATCCGTTTGGCTCTCTTCAGCTCTTATTCCCCCCCAGCCTGAATGATCCAGGATCTAATTAAACTCTTGGGAAACAATCAAAAAATGCCAGAATCCTGAACTCAGGCTGCTTAATTTTGGTGTTGAACTACTTTAACCCCTCTGCTGCCAAACCATAAAAGGGTTAAAAAATCCCCCGGTTTAAAATTAAACCACTTGACAGAAGCCAGGCTGGACTTTTAAACCACTGAGCAAACACTTTTCCATTTCAAACAGGAGGCAGCTTGAACCCAGGGTCCTTGGTTTGTCTTGGGGTGTGCCCTGGCTCGCATGCAGCTGCCCCCCCGCCTCGACGAGGCAAAATTCTCGCCGGGATGAGGCTGGCGGGCAAAGCCCAAGCCAGCATGCTGGCCACCAGGTCCACAAGGGACAGCCCAAGCAGCCTCATCAGGAGCCTCCTGCCCAGCTGCAGGTTGCAAAGAGGCGAGCCCGGGGTGGGGGGAGAGCCAAGAGCTGCTTACTCTGCAAAGCCCAGCTGTTAAACCTATGCCTTAGGAGCGTTACGAAATCATTTTTCCCCTCTACCAGGCTGAGGTTTGACATTGCTGACACATGGTGAGCAGAGGCAAGGGATACTGCTGCCACGGTTTGCCATTTGAGCAAGT